GCAGGAAATTTCTATTTCAGGTCATGAAATCCTGATTTCAGACAATTTTAAATGGAAGATGTAGAAAAGGAATTAGGATGTAAAGCCTTCCTTCAAGAATCTTTCAAAGGGGTTGGAATAGAATTTAAAACTGCAATTGTCAAGTCTCCCAATTGTTTGCAAAAAATGGTAATAAAGAAAGAAGTAGGAAAGAAAAAAGAATCCCTAAATGAATAAACCCAGGTCAGGAAAATGTTGGAGAGTTGCAAATGTTTATAAATATAAAATTAAATCCTGAAGGTTTGTAGATAAAGATCTAGGAAATCTTGGGTAAGTAAAATTATCTGTTGTCTCTTATTCCAGTAATTGGATAGCTTTGAAAAAAATATAGTTGCTAAGTAATACATGTTTGCTGTATTTAATTTATTTTTTTTAATTGTATAAATTTTACGAAATGTTGCAAGAGAAGAATTTTAAAAATGTTGCCTGATATGGAAATGCTTCTGAAGATTTGGACAGTTGTAGAGAATTTTGAAATGTAAATGCATTTCAACTTTGCTAAATCATGTGTGGAAAATGTATGTGTGTAATGTCTATGTGTATATAGGATTAATATGGCATAAGTCAGTGGTTCTCAACCTTTTTAATGCTGTGACCCCCAACCGGTCATAAGTCGAGGACTACCCAACCGGTCGTAAGTCGAGGACTACCCAACCGGTCGTAAGTTGAGGACTTTCCCTGCCCGGGAGCACTGCGCATGCGTGGTGCTGCCCCCTGCGCCAGCCGAGGCGTAGCTGGCAAGGGGCAGCAACAGCACAGGGCGACCACCGGCTGGGCCACCAGCTGGCCCAGCCCAAGGGAGGTAAGGTACCCGCTGGGCCTCACGCGTGCCAGCAACCCTCCCTGCGCCTGCCGGCCTCCCACCTCCCACCCTTTTTTACTTACATTTTTAGTAGCTGCTTAGCAGGGAGGGGTGGAAACTTCCAGACAGCTCGCCTTCACTGCAACTTGCAGCACCATTTGCAGACTGGGGCTTTTGGCGGGCTCAGCAGGGCAGAGACAGCCTGGACAATTCCTATTGGCTTTTAAAAGCCAATAGAATTAGACTTTATTCAAGAGAGTCTATTCTATTGGCTTTCAAAAGCCAAAGAATAAAAGGGAGTAGCACAGCTAAGAAAAAGGGAAAAAATGGCGGACTGCTTTGTTTGGCGATCCCCGTGAAATGGTCGTTCGACCCCAAATGGGGTCGCAACCCACAGGTTGAGAACCGCTGGCATAAGTGCTCTGGGAGAGAAACACATACAACATAATAATTTCATTTGAGTCTAGGTTTACCCCAGATATTTTGCATTACAATAGGATTAGCTTATTTTGATGTTTTGTTCCTGCAAGAATAATAGTTCTTACAGGACTATTGTCGATAAATTCTGAGAAAACAGAAAAAACTGAAGAGATAACTTATATGATATAATTGTCTCTATTAATAAAATTGTCTTGGTCTTCTGTTCCTTTGAGTTCTTCATCCAGTTCAATAATTCATTTTTTAAATTACCATGATAATACTGAATCCATTTCCTCTGTATCAAAATATATTGGCATGTAGGTTGTTCATAGGTATGCATATTAGGAAAAAAAATGAAAAAAACTATGTCCGTTTTCTGTTCAAAGCCTAAATGGCAAGGTACGAAAGCACTATTCTATTGATGTCCTGATTTTTATAGGTATTAGCAATGACTGGATGATTCCTACTTCAACTCAATTACGCAATCAAATAAAGTTGTCTAGTATTTCAGCCTGATGATTCATCCAAATAGACTGTTTGAGTAGAAGAGGATTTCTATTTTATTGCTCTTCTAATGATCCTTTAAGTCAGTGGTTCTTAACCTGGGCGATATTGCCCTCTAGGGGGCGATTTCATTTTTCAAGGGGGCGATGGAACGAAAAGGGGCGACATGGGGGTGAAGGAACAAAAAGAGGGCGATATGGGGGCAATGGAGCGAGAAGTTTTGGGGACACTTTTGAGATTTTTTCGTACAGTGAATCGCTGTATATCTGTCATACAAAAACATCAGATGATCGCTATTAGTGGATTGAATTGTGTTTTCAAATGTTCCTCTAGCTAGCTTCAGTACAGAACGTCATACATATGTGAATACACATCGCGTATCTTCATGCGCGTTGCGCAGCAGCCTCTACCCATACAGTGGTGCACCATTTTCCAGAATATGGGAGATATGGGAAAAAGACTGGAAATAAATTATTTGCATCGATATACCCTGATGACAATTTTAAAGAAAACAAAAAAAGTGTTTGCATAAATTGAAAAATTATTTCCTATGTTGTGATTGAGAGGTTATGTTGGGAAAGGGGGGCGATGACAACTTCCTCATTGGCTCAAGGGGGCGATTTGTTCAAAAAGGTTAAGAACCACTGCTTTAAGTCACCCTGACACCTGATGACCACATGGTTAGTATCCATACAGTTTTTCTGGCAATGTTTTGGGAAGTGGTTCTTCCTAGGGCTGAGAGAAAATGAGTGGCTCACAGTCATCCAGCTGGCTTCATGCCTAAGGGAGGTGTTCTATTTTAGAACCTTTAAATTGGAGCCAGGGACTGTATCCAGGACCTCACAGATGCTATAGCAAGCTTACCACTGAGCTACAGCATTACTTCCTTCCTCAAATGTACTCAGTTGGGTTTAAGAGGATATAATTGGTAGTGGGTATCAGCCGGAGTCTCCAAACTTTCATATAATTTAAGGTAAACATAACCAAACAGGAAAAAGAAACATATATGAGTAGAGTAGAAGAAGTGAAAACAAGGCAAGCATAATTTGCATAGGTCAGAGAAGGGCAGTAAAACATCTGTTAGTAGTAGTTGACATGTGTCAATTTTCAGTGCTCATTAAATTCATATTAATGCTGAGCCACTCTTAAACTCCAAATATACGTCCCAGTTGCTGTCATCTCAAGTTGAGTGGTGAATGGTCATTTTTCAGAACTGTGCCGATCCTGTTTACTTGTCAGTAGCATCTGACCTGGGGTCAGTATTGTATTTAACCTTTTGTTATAGGTCAAATCTACCAAGAACTGAATTGTTTGAATAACAGGTGTCCCCTTAGTAGAGTATCTGCCAGATTAAAACTGGTACATGTTTTTATCTTTTTTTCCTTCTTTCCGTTTATTGGCCAGAAAGAAGCATATTAGGGACAAACATTCAAACTTAAGATCACTGAGAGTGGAGGTTTGCTGCAGGATAAGAAAAGAACAGGCAATTAATTTAACAACATTTGAAACTTATGATTTTTTTTGTTTCTGGGTTGGTATATTAAAAAGCCATTGTCTTGGGTTTTGACTGACAAAAGAAACAACTGTCATATTTTTCTGGAATTATTCTTTTCATTCTATATATATAGAATTTCTCATATACTGCAAAACAACTCAGATATGGAACACCTAATATATGTTTCATGGTGATGGAACGCATCAAGAGCTGCAGAATAATTTTGTTGTTGTTAGTTGCCAAGTCGTGTCCGATCCATCGTGGCCCCATGGACAATGTTCCTCCAGGCCTTCCTGTCCTCTACCATCTTCTGGAGTCCGTTTAAGCTCACTCCTACTGTTTCAGTGACTCTGTCCAGCCATCTCATTCTCTGTTGTCCCATTCTTCTATTGCCCTCAATCTTTCCCAGCATTATTAAATATATCTAATAATAATTGGATGTATTTCTTCTTAAGAGATGTCTGTGAAAAATTACTATTTTTGAAAATTCAGTTATGTGGATTATGTTCTTGACTTGTACGTATCTCACATTTCAAAATAAAAATATTCTCAAAGAGGCAAATAAATAAAAAAATAATATTGAAATATGCCACAAATATTTCATCTTTTGTATTTCTGCTGTAATGTTTTTTCTGAGATAAGAAAAAAGATGGAAGAAATAATAGAAATAAATGGGAGAGTTAAAGGTTAAAGTTTACTTGATGCAGAATGCCCATTTTGCATCAAGTAAACTTTAAAGAAAGTTAAACAGTATGGCAGTGAAAATGCAGCATGGGGGGGAAACCCTGTTTTTTTTTGAGATTCCAGACCAATGTGCATCCAATCCCCTTGCTTGCTGCAAAGCCAGATTGGAATCCTTGGACTGCTCCTTCCAGCCCGTCCAAAAGTGAAGGGAATGGTTCCCATCCCATCTGATCGCTGTGGGGCTTCGTTTCCAAAGACCCTCTGCACAGGCTCTGGACAACCGAGATCTGGGACTGAAAAAGCAATGGGAGCAAAGGGCTGTTCAAAGGAGGAGGAGGAAGGAGAAAGTGGGAGAAGTCACTACCAAACAGACAAGGCATGACAGGTGTTGGGACGTGGTAGGCCTGTGGTTAGACTTGATTATTTTCTAATCACTCTGCCTCATTCATGGAATTTTACATTCCATTATTTTCTCTTCAATACTCTCCCATTTATTCTTACTCCAAGTGGGAGAAGCCCAAGGGAGAGCTCCTCCATCACCCTGCAAGTGGAGGCGGGGGGGGGGGGGAGACAGGCTATCCAGATGTGCTTCATGATGGCAGCAAGCAGAGGTGTGGGGGAAGCTTTCCCCTGCCTGCCTCCGCTTGCTGTCACCGTGCAGCATGTCCAGATCACTATCTTCCCCTCCTGCCTCCGCTTGCAGGGTGATGGAAGAGGTCTCCCTTGGGCATGGAACAGGTGTCAGCTTTAGTGCTTTAGAGAAGCTCGTCCATCACCCTGAGGACCTTGAGAGTGGCAAGACTCAAACGGCTGAAGGGAGGAGCCAAGAGAGAAAACCTCAGCATCAGATTGAAAAAAACTTGGAAAAACTGGAGACAGGAAGGCCAGAAGTGGAGACTCAGATTTATCATAACTGGTTCATCAAACTCAATAAAAAAATAGGTATTGGTTCTGCCAGCAAGCTGGCTGAATCCCACCACTGCCTTTGGATCACACAATGGTTCACATATTGATCCTCCAAATTCAATTTCTATATGGCTCCCTTTTGTTTTGTAGAGGATGAGGAAGATGATGAATTGGTGGAACTGAAAGCTCAGAATGATGCTGAGATAGAAACTCAAGAAAAGACACAAGATGTGAAGGAAGGTACGTAAGTAGACTGTTCAAGATTAAGTACTTGATGTCCATCAGTAGCCTCTGGTCTCAGTTAAGCTGTATTGTGTCATTATATGTTTTGTTATTGGTTTTTTATGGTTTTAACCCTATTAAGTCACCTTCAGTTGCATTTTATGAGCTGAACAACTATATAAATAGTTTGAATAAAATAAATATATATAAGATTATAACCACAATGTCTAAAATCTGTTAGCTTATATGTTAACTTTTTTCTTCGATCATTGATCAAAACAATTAGCTATATGATCTGCCTTCTGCTAAGCCTAGAAATATATTGCACTGAATTTTGTTTTGTTTTTCATACTTTTTTGCAATGTTCCAGTCTAGATTTATTAAAATTAATAGATATCCCATGGTCATAGGCCCATCTTTCTGACACATGGGAGAAAGTCCTCTTCTCATTGCTCTGACAATGAAATGTACTTTCTTGGGAGTTTTCTCAAATATTTAGAAACCTGTGAAGACAGATTTATTTTGACAGGCTTATTGACCTGAGATGCTGTTAATATTTATGCCACTGTTCATTATAATTTTTATTAAGTATTCATATTTTGTTTTGTCTTAGCTAGCTTGACTGCTTGCCAGAGCAGTGTATAAATCAAATAAGCAAATAAATTTCTAAATGGAAGGGCCAAGAATTGTCCATAACATTTCCAGTTTAAAAGGATTGGATAGATTTCACTAGTGTGGAAAACCTTTGATTCTGGAGGGTGGTCATGGGTCAGACTAAACTCAGTGGACAAATGGTCTGAACAAATCAAAGGTAGTTTCCTAGATTTTACCTTCTGCCTATAGCACTAATAACTAGTGTGGGTGCTCCTGAACTCACTTAAAGAGATTCTGCTCACTTGAATGCAGGTCTTATCAGCAGAGAAGCCTATAGTCTTAGTGAGAGCAGAAGAACTATACTCAGTTGTTGAACTGTGGTTGAGATTTGGGTCAAGTTTCCTCTTCTTGCCACATGAAAGTAACCATAATTTGTGTATCTCTGGAAGACGACGTAGTGAATTATGAGTGAATACTTTTTAAAAGCCAAGTTAAATAGACTCCTGAAAGACATATATTTATTTTAGTTTTTCACGGGCTTGCAAGTGAGTTCTATGTATACCTCAGCTGTATTTGAAAGATAGCCATAACTAACATCATCTCTTTTTTGTTATAGTTTAGTCTAGTTGAAGTGTTTTGTGTTGCCCCTGGCTCCTCTTCTTGTCTCCTCAAGCCAGATCTCAGGCAAAAGATAGCTGTAAAATCCCTTTCCCCTCCCCCCTCGTTCTTTCCTTTCTTTTTAGTAGTAATAGTTTTTGAGACACTCAGACCGCAGGTTTCAAAAGGAAGTCTGGTAGTTGAATCAGAGACAGCAGTACTTTGTGAGGATGTTAATATTTTAGAAACTGAAAAGAAAATAATAAATTAAAACTGACACTGGAACTGACAGAAAGTTGGTTGAGTTTCAACTAGCCGCCTCACTTCCTTTTGTATCATTTCAATGTTTCAAAAAAGCTTATCATCATAACATCTACAGTAGTCCCATAGCTATGGGACAGGTGAAACACGTAGTTTTTTTTTTCATGAAATTTATCTCAGGATAATTAAAACTGGGGCTCATTGTTGACTCCTCTTATGAAAGCCATTGCTTGAACATGGGACATAAGAATCAGCAATCATATAAAAGTGCACAGAATATTTTTCCTTCAGTAATCTTATCCATCCAGCATTTGAAATGGAAAAGATTGGTTTCAGGTCACTGAGAATAAAAATTTATCCACAGATATGTAGGGATAGGATTATCATATAAATAGTTAACAGGAATCACATATTCATTGTTAACTAAATTTTTCTATTTTCTTTTTTCTCTTTGTTTCTTTCTTTCTTTCTAAAAAAAATTAAGGATTACTTTATTAATGATGTACAGGATCTTTTAGGTGGTTGCCACGTTTTCTTAATGTTTTAATTACAAAATTCCATCATACAGACCCTTTGTTTTCTGAGTTTGTAACTTTTGTTTTTGCTTCAAAACAATGATTACTAATATGTTAGGGGCAACACATGTATTTTCATTAATATTTCCTGCTGTTATTGGGTTTAGTAATATTTATTCTGAATTAAGGGCTTTCCTGAAAATTGGGTTAAATGCATGTTTTTGTTGGCATAAAATGAGAAGGTTTCTTTTTCCATGCAGAGCAAAATACCTTTTCTTAAAACCATTGCAGAATTTCTAATAGATATTTAGCAGTACTATTCATATTTCTAAAAGCAGCTAAGCTGGATCAGTGCTTCCATTATGAATCTTGATTTTGAAAGATTCTGTAATCCACTATACATTTTTTCCCCAAATTAAAATTAAAATTGTCATTTAGAGACATTTTTTTTAAAAAAGTGAGATTCAATGGAATATTATCTGATAAATTTGCTATTTTATCCTTTATAATTTGAATAGTAACAAGAACAAAAATATAGAAAGTTGCTACATCCTAAGTCAGATTTCTTTGTCCAGTATTGATGGGTGCTAATTGGTACAGATAAAAGTTTTCCTGGCCTGAGGTCTTCAGAAATCATATAATTTCATGCCTAGAATAGCACATTTTTTTAAAAAGGGCTACATATTAAATGTCTATGGAGATTCTCAGTCATCCAGATCATGCAGAAATTTTAAGTTTTCTTTCTTGTTTAAATTTTATTCAATAATAATAATAATGATGGAAGGGACCTTGGAAGTCATCTAGTCCAGCCCCCTGCTCAGGCAAGAAACCCTATACCATTTCAGACAAATGGCTGTCCAGTCTCTTCTTTAAAACTTCCAGTGTTAAGAGCGTTCATTGCTTCTGAAGGCAGGTTGTTCCATTGGTTAATTGTTCTAACTGTCAGGAAGTTTCTCCAGCATGATTGGATGGAGAACCCACGGATGGGTTGTCTTAATCTATCTGCTCCAATTAGACTAAGTCTGAAATTTAGTACCGCCCCCTCTATGCCAACTGCACCCCAGTTTTAGACTTAGTCTCTTTGCTCTAAGACGCGTTTTTTCTTCGCTCCTGGAGCAGAAGACTGTGTATTCCTATTTTATTTTATTCCCATTAGCTTAGTGCTAACCATTTTTATTAATAGATTTGATAATTTAAAAAAAAAAGAATTTTTTTTTTCCAGTGATCATCCCAACCTGTAGCCTAGCAGGCTGACAGGCTGACAAACCTCCCTTTGGGGGGGGGGGAACTTTCCCTTTCTCCCTTTGAGAGCCTTTCAGCTTCACAATCAGCTTGAAATTTGGATTCCCAGAAGCAAGAGAAATCTCCTACCAGGGGCCGTTTCTCCGCATCAGAGGCTCCGTTCTTCTAACCAGAGCCTGGAAGCCTTAGAGGCAGGGGTAAGCTTGCCAATTGACTGGGGGGCTCCGCAAGCGACGGAGGTCCCTCGGCCTCAGCAGACCACCCAGCAGCAGGAGAAAGTTTTTGGCACCGATCCAATTTTCGGAGCCTGGAGGCCTTACTAGGCCTCGGCCTGCCTCAGCCTCTCTCAGCTCACCTAATTGTAATCCATTAGCTGCGTTAGGAGCCCAAGCGATTCCTCGGAATGAGGGCTTATCGCAGCTTAGGCCTCAGGCCTCAAGGCCTTCTTCTGCTAACGGGCGTTTTTTTTTTTTTTTTGGAATCCATTCGCTGCGTTAGGAGCCCAAGCGATTCCTCAGAACGAGGGCTCATCGCAGCTTAGGCCTCAGGCCTCAAGGCCTTCTTCTAACGGCTGTTTTTTTGGCACGAACTCTGCGGCCGCCATTTTGAATTGACTCACGGTGGCCATTTTGTGTGTGGCTGAGGCCCAGACTGCCTGGAGCTCACTCCTGAAGGCAGTGTATGATCACCGGTGGCAGAGGCCTCGAATTTACAAGCATCATCTCCACAGCGGTTTGGACTGGGGAGGGCCAGCTCGCTCCCAAGGGACGCAGTGCCCACCAATCCCCTGCCCACCCCCCTCACAGGCCGAATCATCTCTGCAGGCTCCCTTGGTGAGTTACAGCGCTGAGGGGGGGCGTTTTGCCAAGGTTGAGCCCAGAGTAGACTCATCATGGCAGAGAAAACCAGCGAGCCGGCCAAGAGGAAATGTCAAACAGGCAAGTGGAAAGAACACCACCAAGCGAGCCAGGGCAAGCAGGGAAACCAATAATCTACAGATGAGGGAGGAGGAGTCCCAGAGACTGAGAGCGGCCTCCCCAGGTCAGACAGGCACAACGGGAAGGCCCATTTTTGAGCCCCTTCCTCACATTGTGCCTCAGCCCCAGGGGCCTGGTCTCCCCCCAGGGGAATTTCCCAACTAGAATCAGCCACAAGGGCGGGTCCAGGGACAGGCTTGACTAGCCAGGACACCCTTAATGTGGGCCCCCAGACCACATTCACCCCCACTGCAGCAGGGCTTCACCCCCCTGAGAACCAGACTCTAATCCCGGACTACCTTCAGTCCATGATAGCTCAGGCTGTGGCTCAATTCATGGCTTCCCACGCCCAACAGCCACCCCTACAATCCATGTATCATTCCAATCTCCAGATATCATGGATGAACCTTCATCAGATCTAGAATCAACAAGGGCTGAACCATCGGGCCTGATTATGTCAGAGGATGAAAGTATCACTTCATCTGACCCCACCCCTCCTGTCGGTCTCTTTGACCATTCACTTTTATTTCCCTGCTAATCAAGGCCTGCACAACTGTAACCTCTCTCAAGAGCAGGAGGCCCACCTACAACATCCAAGGGTCCCCATGTTATATATACGAGCCCTCAGTCTCTCAGAACCATATCCCCTGCCCCCTTTTCTCAATAGGGTTCAAAAGCAATGGGAGAAGTTAGGATCCTTCTCAAGCCCTGGTGCCGTAGAGAAGACATTATTCAAAGTTGCCCCTTCTCTGACCTCCCTCTTGGAGGTCCCTGAGATTAATGAGCCATTGAACTCATTATTTCCCAATGCTAACATTCCTGGGGATATAAA